AAAATGGATCATCGTCAGAAAGGTGATGGATCAGCCTAAAAACTACATGGGAGGAGCTTGTTAATGATCTGAAAGCAGTTGGTACCACAGTCACCAAGAACACCACTGTTAATGGATTGAAATCTATCACCTGTAAGGTCTCCCCGCTCAAGATGACACATATACAGGTCCATCTTATGTTAGCCAGTGTTAATGATTCAGAGAAGGCATGGGAGAGAGTGCTGTGGTCAAATAAAACCAAAATTAAGCTATTTGGCATCAACTGCCATGTTTGGAGGAGGAGAAATGCTGGGTATGACACAAATACCACCATCCTTACAATCAAACATGCAGGTGGAGTCATCTGCTGAGGGTACAGGACAACGGTAAAAAAAAAAAAGCAGCAGATTAAGGTCATGGAGCGGCCTAGCCCGTCTTTACACCTTAATCCAATCTGCAATCTGTTATAGGAGTTGGAGCTCCGAGGTGTGAAGTGGCAGCCAATAAACCTAAAGGATTTAGAGCGTTTTTGTAAAGAGGAGTGGGCCAAGTGACCTACGAGACACATCTTACTGCTGTGCTTGCCAACAAATGTTTCTCCACCAAGTACTATTTTGCTTGGACATCTTATTTCGCTCACTAACATAGGTAATGTGTTTTTGTCTGGACATTTTTGTTGAGACTGATGATTTCTTTGTAAGTGAGCAAACTTAAAAATAGTTATTTCCCCATCTTCAGTTACCTTATTAATGTATAGAAAGAATAAGTGATAATATATAATAATTTTTCTATTTTATTAAAGGATGATACAAATAAAGTCAGCACTTTTAATAGTGATTAACATATAGGAAACAGCACGGCAGCGTTGTGGTTACCACTGTTTCCTTGCAGCAAGAAGTTCCTGAGTTCAACCCCGCCATCTGGCCTTTCTGTGCGGTGTTTGCATGTTCTGTCCGGGTACTCCGGCTTCCTCCAAAGACATGCATTTAGTGCGTTTAGGTCAGTTGGTGACTGTGAGTGGCAATGGTTGTCTGTCTCTCTGTGTTAGCCATGCGACCGGCTGCTGACCTGTACAGGGTGTAGACCGCCTCTTGCCTTAGGCTCTAGCCACCCCGATTAGGATAAGCAGCAGAGGATGGATGGACATGCAACAATTTTGCAGATCCACAGATTTACTCCAGCTCTCATCTTTTTGTTGTTGAAAATCACTACGAAGAAACTAAACATAAAAGGAAAAAGAAATGAAAAAAATTCCAACGTAATAATGACTGGATACACACAACTAGGGATGGGTATCGTTTAGGTTTTATCCGATACCGGTGCCAAACCGGTACTTTTGAAACGGTGCCGGTGCTTAAACGGTGCTTAAAGAATGGAGAACACAAA